CTGCAACAGATTAATCATTTTGCAGCTGCCCAGTAACATCAAAGCACCAGCCATGGGAACTACACGGCACCGGGGAAAAAAAACGCTGAACAAATTGAACTGCGGCACCGTTTATAGGAGACCATCATTTAATATGTACAACAGTTCTTCTGGCTTTAATTATTTATATTCAGACATGAAATCAGCTGAATTTCTTTTGTATGTAACCTACAGCTGCTGGGATAGAAGCAGGAATTCAAACAGGCCCGTGAATGCTCCTCCTTCCTATGAATTTGAGTTTTAATTTTTAACAGACTGGAATGTCTGATTTCATTGGAATATATTGATAGAAATTATGGTGATTTTTGTGCCTCACAATGGAAAATATTTGACTATATATTGGCCTTTTTGCCCATGAATTACATAGCCATGCTCTAAATATTCTGTTCTGAACCACTGCTGAGGTATTGGTTATGCTGTATCAGCATGTGACAAAAGGAGAAAGAATGTCTGGACAGGCATTCCTAAGAATATTTTCCTGTAAAAAAGAGTTTTGGAAAAAACCCCCCACAACCACAAAAAAAAAACCCCAACAAACCTGCATTGAATATAAGCTCTACAGAGATATTTCTCTTTGTTTTCTGACTTCTGCCATCATGTGCATCTTCACACATCCCTTTAAAAAAGGCATTTTTCAGGAGATAATAGGTGAAGAGATGCTTTTATTCTACCTTATTCAAAAATATGATAAATTTGATACTGAAAAATATGCTGCTGCTCCTGGATTTGAGGGATTAAGGGTGGGTGTTGCTGGGATATCATGACACCAGTGACAGGCTCCCCTGCACTGACAGCTGGCCAAAAACCCACCCATAAAACCCACTTAACCCCTGTTCTTACAGCTGAAACGAGGAATAAACTTTGCACATGTGGGCTTCTCCATATTAATTCCTCTTACTTTTCAAGCTGTGAGAGGTAATAGGGCAAATATCTAAATTTTGGATACCTGGAGCACTGTGAAACTCCAGTGTTTCACGTAGTGGGGTGTAGACAAGCACTGGAATTGCAGAGTGACCCACAAACCACTCTGGGGGAGCAACACAGGGACTTCTAACCTTCAGGATCACCTTCCACATTCCACCAAAAAAATTCCAGTAATCTTTGTGCAGCCCATTTAACCTATTACGAAACAGAGGTTTGCCCAGCTGGGGGGTTCACTATAAAGCCAATTTAGCAGAGAGAAAGAACAGTGTTTCCTTATTTATTCAAATCAGTGTAAAACAAACACTAGAGTCTGTATTTGAGCTGCAACAGCACTTCCCCTCTGACAAAACTTGTAGAAACAGCAGCATTATTACAGAGCTACAGGACAAATTCATTTATTGAAGACACTGTGTTTACATGGTGTTTACTAGGAGAAAAAGAAGGGTTGTCTTGCTGGTTGGTTTATTTGTTGTGAGCACAGATCTTCCTTTTTAAATAGCAAGAACAAGCAGAAGGCGGAAACCAAAACATCCACAGAAAAGCTGAGATGGAGATCAGGGAGGGCAGGAGAGCAAGGCAGACCCCAATCACAGCCACAGCAGAGCACAAACACTTCCAAAAAGCTACAAAAGGTTCTTTTTTTGTCTTCTCTGTCCTGGGTTTGGCTGGGATAGAGTTAATCTGCCCTCAGTAGCTGGTGCAGTGCTGTGGTTTGGATTCAGGAAGAGAATAATGTTGAGAACACACCGATGCTTTGCTCCTTGCCAAGTGGTGTTTATCCAAAGTCAAGGACTTTTTTTTTGTGTCTCAGGCTCTGCCAGTGAGGAGGAGCACAAAAAAAAAAAGATGGGAGGGAGAACAGCCAGGACAGATGACCCAAACTGGCCACAGGGATATTCCAGTCATGCTCAATGTATAAACTGGGAGAATCACCTGGAAGGGGCAGATCAGGGTTGGGGGACGAGGTCCGGCATCGTTCAGTGGGTGATGAGCAATTTTATTGCACATCACTTGTACTTTTCATTATCATTATTATAATTTACTCTTATTATTCTATTTTACTTTGTTTCATTTATTAAACCACTCTTATCTCAACCTACAAGTTTTATTTTTGATTCTCCTCCCCACTGCACAGGGGTGGGGGTGAGGTGAGTGAGTGGCCTCGTGGTGCTTAGTTGTGGTTTAAGCCCAGCTTAAAACCCAGCACCCCTGTCACAACCTGAGGGGATCTTCATGGGTTAAATTCCCCTCTAAAATATGCATATGCACACTCAGACATTAATGTGTCTGTGTGACTGCAGCTCATTAACATGCAAATATGACTTCAGCACTGAGACTCCCTGCTCCAGGAAGTTAATGAGGCAAAGGATGGCATAAAAGTCAGGAAAACACAGAAAATTTCCTTTCATACTTGTCCAGCACATTCCAGGCCCACAGAGTATGTCACATCTTCATCAATGTGGTCCCTTTGGCTCATCCTGTGCAGTGGCTTTTGTTTCCATCCCTGTTCCCAGGCTGGACACAAATGCTTTTTGGGATATGTGGGGCTGCCCAAGGGAGAGCATTTCTTAACAAGGTCACGACTTGAAGAGCTTTGTGTTACTTTTCACAGCCTGTTCCACCTCTCATCCTATCTCCAAAACTTAGGAATTAACAGCACCACAGCTGCTATTTAAGGAAGATGAGAGCCTGAACTAACCAGGGCAATTTGGCACCAAAGCATTGGTCCTGCTTCCCAGAGCTGACACCTGAAAACTTCTGAAAATGTAATCAGAACCCCATAATTGACAGACACCAAATATCAAGTCCAAAGAAAGCAACAGTAATTTTTAGCAGTACAACCCCGAAACAACAAGGAAAAACAGTCTGAGAAAGATGGTCCCAGGTTGGGTGATGGATTGAAAGGGGTTGATGGCTCAGAAAGACCTTTAGTTTAATGCAATTTCTAGCGAAGAGGTGTTCATTCAGGAAGCACACACACCAAAAAAAGAGCCCAAGAAGTGATGGGACTGGTGGGAGCTGCAGCCCACCAGTTGTCCCTGAAGGGGCACAGGGATGGTGGGACCACTCACTTCCACAGGGCATTGTCAGGGCAACACCCCAAAAAACTCATCCTCCCCCAGCTGTGCTGCTCTTTGCAGCAGAGACAAAGACAAGGGTGATATCTGTGTGTCTGACACTGGTTAGAACCAAATAAAGGTATTTAATTTTCAGATTGAACCTTCTTTTTACAGATAACTCAACAGTCAAGTTTTTCCCTGTCTCTTAAGGGTCCACAAAGCACTATAAAGATTTGTTAGACAACTTTCTGCACACTATTTTGACCTTTTTTTTCCCTTTGCATAATTCAATTATTAATATTTTTTCACAAAGGTGCATCAAGAGATCAACATGGAAATGTAAGATTCCTCCTTAACTTCAGACTGTTCAGCAGCCAGATGTGAGTGTTCATAACAGCACACACAAAACAGCTTGGGAAGCAAAGCAAGAGCATCCCCTACTAACAGCACTGTGCCCAAAATGGAAAAGCAAAGGGAAACAACTTCCTCACTCATCACCGAAGAGAAAACTTGCACAAAACTTTGGGCACTTCTTTCCCCATAAATCTCTAAATCTCCCTCAGCAGGACAGAGAATCTGAAGCCTCAAGACACTCAGTCCACTGCAAAGAGGAGAAAAAATGCTGTTGCTGAATGGTGTGGGAAAAGCCAGTACTGATGAGATGCATTTTTATAAATAACAGATGGAAAAGATAAGGACAACCCCCCCCAACACATTCTCCTGAAACTTTATTTTGCTGACCCTGGCCATTTTGCAATAAATATTTTAAGTCTGGAAATTACAGTAAAAGTCTTTTTCATGCTTTTGTTTTTCCACTATTTTGTTTATTTGCTTGAAATAAAGGCTCCCAGTCGACACATTCCCACAGCCTGACTTCCCTAAGGTTGCAATTCCCGAAACACGTGTGGGCTCTGCATTGCAGAATCTCTCTGCATCCAATTTTCTGCCAGCTCAGAAACTGTCAAAGCACATTTAGAAAGACTTGGAACCAAATTTCTAAAATAGGTACCCCTAAGTACCGGAATAAAAGTGGCTTTATGTTCAGTGGAGCTCAGCAGAAGAAAGTAAACACCATTCTAAGTAGTTTGCTATTACCTAAAATGCTGAAAAAGTACCCTGACAGTGAGCACATACATAAATGGGAAGAAAGCAGAAGCCACTAAACAAAGCAGTAAAACATTCTGAGCAAGCAGCAGATAAATTAGAGCAATCCAGGTGATATAAACAGTAATTAAAACTTTAAACCTTCTCTCAGAACAAAATACATGTTAAAGAATAATAATGCCATTTTTAAGGAGGAAATAATCAAGGATAAGGGAACAGCAAGGAGAGAAAGACTCAAAACAGCCTTTGACAGCCTGGTATGGTCCAGAGAGTTCCCTACAACCAACTCCTTGCCCATGTCAAGGTCAACAGGGCTTTGGAACAAGCTTTGCCAACCCTCTGCAAATCCAAAATGTTCTTCAAGAACCCTTCCAGCTCCAGGAAAAAGGCACATTCCTCGGAAACTTCCCTTCCCTGGGAATGCTCAGAACATTGCAACTTTGGGGGCTGCAAAGGTTAAACAAGGGCAGCTACAGGAGATGGTTACACTGCTGAAATATGTCATTCTAATTATTTGTTAAATGGAGCGAGGGCTGAGCTGCAGCACAACACCCTTTTAATGGGATTTAAAGCCACACTCCACAAAGGTTTAATTGAGCAGCGAAACACTTAACACAGAACACAGGGAAAACAACTTCCATCAACAGCAACTTTCGAGCAGAAAGGGGCAGAGCAGCCCTTTGAAACGTTGTACTTGGGATGAGAGACACTGATCCCTGGGAGAAGGAGCATCAGCTCGTTCCACTCAGCACATCCCACAACACTGGCTGGGAAACAGGGCCTTATTTTGCCCTTTTATCCCTGGCACAAACATCCCACCGGTGTGGAATGCACTGGTGTTCTTAAATCCCAAGTTTAAAGGTGACCCCTCACCTGCCAGGCACACCATGACCGACTGCAGCACCAGCAGCTCCCACAGCAACCTCATCTTCAGCTGCCCAGCTCAGAGGGGACCAGTCCACTAATTCCAGCAGAGAATGGGGCTCCTGGGAAATTTTAGGCCACCTTTAGTCTGCAAGAGAAAAGAGAGATTCCCAGGAGAGTTAGGATTGCTGCTCCTTCTGGGGTTTTTTCCAGTCTGTTTTTCCTTTCCAGGAAAGGTGCAAGTAGAATCAACAAAGAAACATTCTCCAATATTTAATTTAAAATCAATCTGAGGAGTGATGTGTGACCATCCAAGTGGTCTGGGTGCCAGAGGAGGGTTTAGAACTGTAACCCATGTCTGCATTTTCTGCTTGGGTGTTGTGAGATTTCTTGTGCCTCTCACTTTTGCAATCAGCAGATTTACTCCCTGCCTCTCTGGGGCAATCTGGTGTAATTAGTGAGCTCTGTAGATCAAGTTAAGAGAAAAATTAGAGTAATTCTCTGACTTTATGAGAATTACTCTAATTTTTCTCTACAAACATCATCCAGCACGGGAAAGGCACCGTCTCTGCAAGACAGCACTTCATAGGAAATATTCCCACACTGCTCAGGGAAGGGGGATGTTTTTCCCATTTCACCCCCATCCTCACTGCTCTAAAATTCTTTTTAAAAATCAACTTAAAAACATCTCCGGGTAAAAACTGATCTTCTCCTCACACTCTGTTACAACTTATAAATAGAATTTGTAAGCAGACAATTCGAGACCTTCTCTGCAAAGTACCACCATCCCCCTCCAAGCAACACAAGAGGGGGAAAAAAAATGCCTTCTTTTATGAAAGGAACCTTTTCCAGAGCAGGCATTTAAATATTAAAAATAAATAAATCAAGTCAGACACACATCCTTATAATTTATTCATCCCACTGAAGGCTGGAAGTTTAAGGGGCCTTTGTGCTTCCAAGACAAACTGCACGACTAATACCATGTGAAGGGGTATCACGAGAGGGCTCTGCCTGCTTTTGTGAGTTAAAATTGGTGAGATTCTTCTAATAAAGTCAGGTTCAATGCACTGACAAGACTAAGAATCTGATCTGAAGGTGCAGCTTTGAAAGGGGTAGAGATTAATTGCACATATTCATCCGTTCTCACACAGACTGATGAGCCTTGCTGGGGGTCAGCAGGAAGGACCAATCAATGAAAACTAATAACTTAGGGGAATGATTAGAGTATTAATTATTAATTTGGGGAGGAAAATGTCATCCCAGACCTTTCTACTGATTGACACAGTTAAGCAGTTATAGTCTGAACTCATGAAATGTACTTTTTTACCCCATATAATGGACAAATCCTGTTTTTCCTCTAAGTACCAAATTCACAGAATCATTTAGGTTGGAAAAGACCTCTAAGATCATGGAGTCCAACCAAGTTCTGTTGGTTACAACAGCACCTCCTCAAGAGATTTCTACCAAAGGAAGTTGCTCTTGGTTCTACACCAGCTGAGGTGAAATTTGAGATAAATCCTGTATTCACCAGCAGCTGCTGAAATTCTTCCCTGTTCTCGTTTTCCCACGAATTATGCCCATCAATAAACCCATGGTGTCACTTCTAAAGCTTCTCTTCATCACCCTGCAAGGAGATACTTTACATTATTCTCCTCACTCTCTGCAATGAGCTGCTGAAACAGAGCAATCACTCAGAGCCTTTGATCCCTAATTAAAAGCACAAGAGGTAGAGCACTTATCAACTGAACCCACTGCCAGGAGCCCATGGGAAGCACCCTCAGCCCCCACTGTGAGCTGCCCATGTGCCACAGGGCCCACCAAAATCACCCCTGGGGATTAACAACAGCAGCACCCAGCTCTCTGTCTGCAGGCGGGAAAGTATTATATCTGACTTTTGGTTAAAAAACCTTTACATCTAAATCTCCAGATCTGAGCAAAGTCAAGCAAAATCCCTCTGTTTATTCCATGGGCTTTGAGGGTGGTGCTTCCAGAGATGTAGAGTTTAATCATAAAAATCTTAGAATCAGAATCACAGAGTGGTTTGGGTTGGAAAGGACCTTAAAGCCCATCCAGTGCCACCCCCTGCCATGGGCAGGGACACCTTCCACTAGCCCAGGTTGCTCCAAGCCCCGTCCAACCTGGCCTTGGACACTCCCAGGGATGAGGAAGGAGGACCATGGATGGTCTGCAGGACCACATCTCTGAGACTCTCATTGACCTGAGTTTGTTTTGCCATTTTATCCCCTAGTTTTCCATAGGTATAAGAAAATTCTTGGATAGTCTTCCATTTATTGCTCCTCCCCACTGCAACTTCACCTGCTGTCTCAGAATCACCATCCCTTTGTGAAAAATTCTGCCTACATCATGGTTTTGCAAACTGATTTGGGGTTTTTTTTTGTCTACTCGGGAAATCACTCTTCTCTCAGCACTTTAAACACCACCACAAAATATTTCAAAATCACTTATGAAAATTAGTTTTTAGCTTATAAAGATATTAAAAAGAACAGGCTCCTTCTTTCCTCCCAAGATGTTCTGACACAATCACTGGGTCTTACTTCCAGCCAAAACCAAAAGCTATGCTAAAAGTATAGAATCCCAGAATGGTTTGGGGGACCTTAAAGACCATCTTGTTCCACCCTCTGCCCTGGGCAGGGACACCTTCCACTAGCCCAGGTTGCTCCAAGCCCCGTCCAACCTGGCCTTGGACACTTCCAGGGATCCAGGGGCAGCCACAGCTTCTCTGGGCAAGAAATAAATACACATTTTTAGTACTCAGCACATTTAAGTCCAGTGAAAAAGCTCAAAGCCTTTCCTGTTATTTAGTTATTCAACAATTAATCCAGAGAACCAGCAGACACTGGATGGTCACATGCACGTGCTTCAAAGACAAAATGCCAACTACCTGGGGTCTAACACAAGCCAACATGTGACAGAAAGTTTTCCCAAAGGGAAAGGAAGCCTGTCGTAGCATAAAAAGCAGTGAAAAGTAAATTAGATGATCACCATTAAAAATATTTTCCTAAGGTTAAAATAAGGTGGTTTTCAAGCTTTGGCTGCATTTCCATTTCTCATGGTAGTTCCTATTTCACATGTGAATGAGTCCAATTCTCAGGAAGTTTTCCTGTAAACATCACTGCTATTCATGTCAGCAGGGCCTTTGTTCAGAGCTGTAAAAACTGTTCAAACACATTGACTTTTTATGGCAATGACTTCGGGAAAGGCAACATTTGTGCCTGAGCAAAAGACGGATAATTGAAAAGATCCTTCCTCCATCCCTGAATGTTTTCTGCCTATAAAATCCCAGGGGAGTTTGTGCTGCTTCTGAAGGAGAATATGAGGCCTGAAAACTTGCAAAGTTTAGTATTTTATTTCCAGAGGGAAGCACAGATAGTTTCAGCACTACACAGGCTATTTTTTCCGAGATGAAAATGAGATTGCTGTGCTTCAGTTTGGAAGTGCAGCCCATTAGAAAACCCAGTGCCAACACACATGTGCAGATGCCTTTTTAACTTCCCTTTTGGCAGTGCAGCCATTGCAAGTTCTTTTGAAAGGCACCTTTGTTCCTAATTGGATTCTGGTGAAGAAAGTTGACTCTCAGAGCTCTGACTGCAGTCGGGTGGGAGGGAGAAAAATGTGTGCAGCACAAATATTTGTGGGGAATTTTTCTGAGTTAGTGGGCATGGCTCTGCCAGTAATTTCACTGGGGTGTTTAATTATTAGTAATTCTGGAAAAAAAACAAAAACACAAAAAAACCAAACCAAAATAGCAAAGGTACATAAAATGCATTCAGAATGTGAAAAATACTTTGTAGATCAATCTGCATTCTATGAACTCACAGTTTAGTGAATATTCCGAAGGAAAATTTGCAAAACACACCCAAGACCCCCAAGCTTTGCAGCAGCAGCAAGAAACAAGCCTCAGGAATCACGTCCCCTTCTCCTGCTGCACGTTGGTGTGCTGCAGAGTGCCAACTCCACTCAGCTCCCAAATAAATCACTGCTAATGAAGCATGCTGCACATCCAGACAGCAACAGGCATCTTTTAATCACCTCAGCAAAGGAAGAGCTCAGGGTGAGCCCAGAACACTCAGCACTGATGTGGGAGTTGGGAGATTTAAGGTGGTGCCGACCCTGAGGCTGCCACGGGTGTGACCCGAGGGCAAGAGCAAACACCTGAGAGGGATTCACTGCCTTCCCCAACACTGACAGCAATTCACGGGGCCAAAAACCTCCAAAGAACTACCCAAGCTTTTCAAACAGGAGCACAGAAGCATAAAAATAACAACCTTTAGGCTCAGAAGGGAGAGCAGAGCTTTGGGTTACATGGAACGTGGGGCTGTTCAGCTGCTGAGAGCACAAAAGCAGAGGTTGGGAACGACCAAGATCATCAAGTCCAACCTTTGACTGACCCCCACTTTGCCACCCAGACCAGAGCACTGAGTGCCACTGAGTGCCACCAACTGTTCTGGTGTTTAAGGAAAAGGGCAGATGGCAAATGCAGGCAAGAACACCTACACTGGATGCATTTTGCAGGTCAAGTCTAAAAATACTTGACCCAGCAAAAGCTGAGCACAAAGGTTTAATATAAACTCAAATTCCACTCATCAACACAGGAAAAAAAAAAAGGGCAGGATAAAAGCCATAGAAAGTTTCCTAGGGTTCAACAAAACCTCTTCTTCCTAAGGTGAAGATATTTTTCCTAATGTACACATATAAGAAGATCAATATCCATCAGAGATGTGGCCAGGAGGTGCTTCATGTGTCTTAGTAAAATCATTAAGGTTGGAAAAGATCTCCAAGATCATCAAGTCCAACCTTTGACTGACACCACCACGCCCACCAACCATATCATGAAGTGCCACATCGACTCAATTTTTGAACATTTCCAGGGATGGTGACCCCACCACCTCCCTGGGCAGCCCTTCCAATGCTTCACCACTCCCTCAGTGAAGAAATTTTTCCTGATATCCAACCTGAACCTCTCCTGGGCCAACTTGAGGCCATTTCCCCTTGTCCTGTCACTTGTTACCTCAGAGAAAAGGCCAAGCCACAGTAACAATACTAAAAAGATGTCTGAAAAGCTCCACCAAAACACTATTATCCATTCCCATCTCTCCAAACACAACCCACTCCTGATGTTCCCAGGCA